CTTGTGACCATTGTTTGAAGTCGCGCGTCCATAAAATATAATATATAAATTAAACGTTCAACAAAAATATATAGACTCTATAATATAATACATATAGAAAACCAACTGCTGAAGGTATTTGCTGATTTGTGCGGTATATATGTTGTGTGTATAATATATTATAGTACGTTGGTCGGAAAAACGCGATAAAAAAATAAAATAAAAAACCGTTCGACGATGAAATCACACGGATCTCAAACATTTTTTCACTCGTATATGGGTGTATATTTATTTTATTTTTTTCACCTATCGTTCGAGGTGTATCCGACCCTTAGATCACGTATTAATATATCATTATTATTATTTATACATACGATCTTAGATCCGACCGCATACCTAAATAACGCTTTTCAGTTTCAGTCCATATGTACACGCGATGAAATTCAAACCATGCAATAATATACAATGCGATTCACCACGATATTCGCTCCCATTATTTCCTTATTCGGTATAATATAATGAAATCGTTCAAAATCTTATTGATCTATTCATAATCTGATATCTGAAGTACACTATACTTAAAGACCAAACTTAATTTGTTAGAATGAGAAGCACCCTTTTAAATGCGATAAATTGTTCTTAACAGATTATTTTTTTTTAAATTTTTTTTGATTTAACCAATTCAACAGTAAAAAAGGGGCGGTTCTTACAGCACCTAAAAGGTTACAAATGAGACACTCCTTTAATCATATATACAAATCTTAGAATATAAAATCCTAAGAATATGGTCTTTAAGGGCCGTTCTTACAATGTCCGGTTAAAGTTAACCGACACTTAACCGGCCGAATTCTGCTGGTAATAAAATCTGTTATCAGTTGGTTAGTGTTAACCGACACTTTACCGGACATTGTAAGAATGGCCCTAAGTAAACTAAAAAATTCCAAAAATTAGAGTAATTTGATTAAAAACTTTGAGTTGTGGGTTGTGATCTGCAGTACATATTATAATGTATAAGTGCACCCTTTGAAGTCAATCCCTCGATACCTATAGCTATAATATATTATTAGTTATTACTTATTAAGTTTACTTATATATTTTTCATTAGCTCGGATGGCGTGTAAAATTAAAAACCGTAACCGTCGTCGCTTGAATAAAAACATCAAATCAAAATCTAAACCGTTGGCAACAAGAAATACGCAAAAATAATTAATAATAATATTTTCAAAACTCTATTTTATTATTAATAATAAAAAATTGGTGTACATTTTTTCTTTGGATGACCGGGACAACGGTATCTGTCAAGTCTGGGCATATTATAAATAATTATAATTTGGTCATCACAGCGACGTAATGACCTCAAGTATAGGTAAATAATTCCGTAAATAATAAGCAATGATAACGGACAAGCGGTACATTAAAACGAAATAAAATAACATCGTAACAATAATATTGGAAAGTCGATTTATGAAAACTAACTACATATAACTAAGTATGAAAACGGATTTCCGGTAAATCCCCTGTCTGCAGCAGCGTGCCTATAGTTTTTAATAACACATACAAAACGTTATACTGTTGAAATTTGGTACCTTCGCATGAGCAAAATGAAATAAAAATAATAATATTATTATATTCCTCGTTCACGGGTCGAAGATTATAGTATTATGTACAATATACCAACCACGTATCCGTCATCGTGGCATATAGGTACGTAGGCCACCGTGGTATAAAGGTTACCTTAAAGGTACGTTTTCCCTGCGGCGTCTAGCGTCATTACTACCGGTCCCAGAGTCCGGACATAGGTCGGCGTCTGACGCGACCGTGCCGTTGCACTGTTTGACGCTGCAGGGAAACAGTACCTTAACTTGTGAAATTTTGTTTAAATGAAAAAATATATTTAAAAGAAATTACCGTCGGACGTATCGTCGTCGTCCGTTAACTTTCCGCGGTGTTCCCGGGAAATGTCTGTCGCGCGCATACGGCTGAAGCTCTTGGAAGTCGCCAGCGATCTCGTCGTTTTTCGTTTGGCCAAAATATGTTGACAGACAGTATAGTTTTGAGGTGGTAGACGCAGTCAGTCAACAAATAGCGGCCCGTCTGCAGATACCCCAGGGAGACGTCATCGAAAATCACCGGACCAAGCCCGCGTCGAAAACACACACGGATGACTCGTAATTATGAAGACGTTGCCTTTTGCCCACTGGTACATAAATATACATAATAGGTACCATGACAACTTGAACCGTGGTTACCGGAAAAAAATCATATCGAAATGTACTATTGTTTGCGCTGCAGTATCAATATCATACTATGTTATCATTTTCTCGTTAGCGTAACGGTAAAACGTATCGTTTCTCAGCGGTGCGTTCGGGTGCAGCGCTAGTTTTCAGGTACCATAGAGTAATACCAATATACCATAGATTAAACATACACATGTTTAATCTATGGTAAATGGTAATACTCAGGTTATCTTAGTCCGTGCCCCGACTACTGATTATGGCTTCATTGTTATCATTCTCATTATTGTCGGTTATGTTTAAATGTTTTTCACAATAAGTTTCAAAGTTTTTCCCTCGGTGTCTTCGAAAATAATATCACTATTTCTAGTTTTCTCCGTTAGTGTAGGTGACACTGAGGTATTGTTTCGTACTTCATTTCATTCTCAAATAATAAAAGGAACCGTCAACCACAGTTCCACCCAATCTCATACTCGTTTTCTTTGCTTTGCGCCGTCAAGCCAGCAACATCGCTCACAATCTTATTACATTTAGCATTTTTCTCGTCTCATCGTTTCATACTTACATATACCAACTGTTTACATATGATTTTTGTATGCCCATCGCAGACAGTCAAATTGTAAATGTGTCGTGATTTCTATATCCTGTAAGTATCGTTCTCAAACGTTTAAATTATTATTTCTAATACAGGGGTGGACCCAGGGGGGGGGGTTTGGGAGGTCAGCTGACCCACAGTTGTTTTCCCAGTTAAATGTGGCCCCTCGAAATGGCAAACTATATAAACATTTTTTTATTTGAAAAAATTATGTACAGTGGTGAATTTAGAGGAGAGGCACGTGCCCCCTGTCAATTTTCTGTCGACAAGTTGTTATGTAACTACGAGTATCATATAAATGAAACATACAGTTGATAAGGATAATACTACCAACTATTAATTATTCTTATTATAATCATTATTGATAGTGTGTATGTATTATTAATTAAAATTAAAATTATACAATTTATATGTGCCCCCCCTTCAAAATATCGAAGATCTGCTATTATGATATAGGGGTATATCGTATATACAGCTGTGAAGACTGAGTATTGAAGTAAAATAACGCGTACGAAATCGTGTTTAAGCTTATCAACTTATAATGTACGTACCTAAAATTCGATAAACACAAGTATAAAAATATGTTGGATATAGATATTATATAAGATTTTATGAAGTTGACATAGATGAAATTGATATAGAAGTGGAATACCGTTCATTACATCTAGTTTACCAACAAATGGCAAAACTATTGAAACTGGAGTAACTGGACCTTTAAAATTAAATGATGTATTGAAAATTCATGATATCACGAGACATGGTTTCTTCTTATCCAAATTTATATACTTAGTATAAAATTTTTTATACACTATACCAGTCAGCAGTGCAACTGCAGAAAGAAGTTTTAGCGTTCTAAAACTTCTCAAAACATCCCTTAGCTCAACTATGACTGAAGACCGGCTATCAAATTTGGCCATATTGAGCATAGAAAGCAACATAGCTCAAACCATTGATTTTGTTAACATAATTAGTACATAATACAGTACATAATTCGCACTAATGAAAAAGCGCAGAAAATGATTGTAATGTTCTAGTTCTTTACTATTATTTTCATGTAGGTATTATTAAATATAAATTTTATTAATGTATTATTTATGACTTTTCTATTGTATTAGAATTTAGAACCACCTATTCTATATCTCTTGTGAAAATGAAATCAGTCATTGAAAACTAAAATAAAATAAATATACTGCAAATATACGTATACAAATAAAATAATAAATTTGTATAATTTCTTCTAATGATTTAAATATGTCAGGTAAATTTTTTAATTGAATATAAATTTTAATGCAACAATTAAAAATAAAAATAAATTAAATATAGCTATTAAAGCTTGTAAGTAAATTTTACAATTTACTTAAAAATATGTGATATAGTTATATTGAACGTTGGTATCAAAATGTGATGTAAATAACTAATAAGGTAAATCGCGAGCCCAGAGTGACTTTGTAATACCTAACTATATAGGTAGTTGGTTGAAGTTTCTACACAGTGGCCCCTCGTAAGTAAGGCAGACCCACAGTTCTAAGATCCTGGGTACGCCACTGTACTCGTATTATAAGGGCCGCTTTCACCAAATACTTTAAACTTCGATTACGCTTAATCGACTGATAACAGATATTTAACCGGGCAAATTCGGCCGATTAAACCCCGGATTAACTTTAATCGGAGTTTAAAGTATTGGTGAAAGCGGCCCCAAGTGTATATCCAAAAGAATGTCACTACAACATTACAAATAGTACAAGTTTATCAGTACCTATATAGTTTATTTAGAACTGATATATAAGCTTATACATTGAGGACTTTCCTAAGTTCCCTTACATTACCAGGAAATTCTACCCAAGAACCAAAAATATCATCCTTGTTTAATGCACAAATAACTTCTTCAATACATCGAGATACAGAACTCTGAAATATCGAAGTAAATCGGCTATTACCAACTGGGGTCTGGTATAGATACCAGTGGCAAAAAAATAAGAGCTACCAAAATCTAAAAAAAAAATTATGAATAGGTAGTTGGTAGCTAATTAATAATATTGTTCTATGATAATAATAGGGATTTTACTCATATAGATGTTATAATTTATAGGCTTTAGCTATGTATAAAAGTCATATAAATAAAAACTTTGGATGTTATATATTACAAAAGTAGGTACCTATCTAATCTAAATAACTTGCCTTTGTGTATGAGTCTAAATCAGATGATCTTTTTTTATCTTTAGATAAGGACTTAATTGTCGTATTGAAATGTTAGTCAAATTCTTATAGTTAGCCTGTATTTTTTTTATAAATTCTGAGTCCGAAAGTTCAAAAGAATTATTAATATTATTATTGCGAATTCTTGGATTTCTTTGAAAATATTGCCGGTGTTGTGTATTTTGAATTGCAATTAAATTTGCCAACTCATCAAAATTAGCCATAATTATATTTCAATAGGTACTTTTATATAGGTAGCTAGATCCTAATAAAACAAAATTACAACTTTAAGTACATTTTAAACGTTCGGAAAACGGGCACGTCGGAACTACCTATTTATTAACTATTGTGATACGTACTTGACATTAAATGACTCGTGCGTGTGCGTGCGTGCAACCATAAACCAGATAAAAAATAACAAGAAATAACAATGTATTGTAAATTGATGTGGGTAATGGTAGTGGAGTATGCACACACTAGTTATAATTTACTACACACAAAAAGACGATCAGTAATCCCAGGAACGAAATAATTGCCTAGACACAACTCTTTAAAAATAACACATTTGCAGGGGACTTGAGAGGACGCCACCTCCGCATGTGTTGTCTCCGTCTTATAAATGTACAACATACCAAAAACTGTTTTGCTCTGGACAACTGTTCTCGCACCGTATTTGTTGTAATGCTACCAAATTTCCACAATACGTAAAGAAGAACTTTATCTGTGCAACAGCGTGCCCATACTTTAGGTAACGTAAATACAATAAAAGTTATTTGCTTCTAAACATTTTGTTTTTTCATTTGCTTATAAAAAATAATTGTATGGTGCTATTAAATAAAAAAAATAGCACTCTGTTTCACAGATAAAGTTTTTCTTTACTTGTTGTGAAAAATTGGTAGTTCTACAACAAATATGGTGCGAGAACAGTGTTGTCCCGCGCAAAACAGTTGCAAAACAGTATTTTGTAAGACGGAGACAACACATGCGGGTGTGGCGTCCTCTCAAACAAAATTGCTAAAAACACAGTTATTAAATTCTAAAACAATTGACATTTGCTATAGACACTGATTTTATATCAAAATATAAGCACCTAAGCACATTGCCATTATTATATAATAATATTATACAATTTTCAACCAGAACAAAATAACAATTTCAACTATCCGACTGGCTTGTTATAAAAACATTGAATCCGTCGCTAATGGTATAAACGCTCAACGTTTGTTATAATAAAGTCATTAACGCACTGTGGACCGATATATTTGTGAATCTTCGTCAAACCATATATCTTCGCAGTACTCACACAAAATATATCCTCTCTCGTTATTTTCGTTCAAACCATCTATATTATACTATGGACGCATTGGACGGAGTATCGCCGAAGAAGGTCTTCAAACCCTATTGGAGAATGACACTCGCCAAATCGTCGTGTTGGAAAAGGCCAGAACCGACGCCGGCCGTTGTAGCCGAACCGTATCGGAAACCGATGCTCGCAAAGCCGTCGTGCTGGAATCCGCCACCGACGCCGACCGTTGTAGCCAAACCGTATTGGAGAGTGACGCTCGCAAAGTCGTCGTGCTGGAAGCGGCCGGAACAGACACCGACCGTTGTAGCAGAACCAATTCGGAGATCGATGCTCTCAAAGTCGTCGCCTCCGTGGTGGAATCCGCCACCGACGCCGGCCGTTGTAGCCAAACGGTATTGGAGACCGACGCTTGCAAGGTCGTTGTGGTGGAGACGGCCACCGCCGCCTCTTGTCGCCCAAGCAGCTTAGAGACCGACGCCTGTCGTCTCGCCAAAGCCAGCGTAGAGGACAAATAAATAAACACTTTTTTGTAGAGAGTACCGAATCGTTGTGGTGAAATCCGAATCTGTCGAGTCTGATCGTCATAGTTACGGACCGTGAGCTGGGGCGATAGCAGCTCATCTCGAAAGCATCTGGCGCCCGAAGCCTGCGTCCTGATCTCCGATCACATTGTCACCACACCGTTAATCGAGGCCGTCTTCCGTCTCACGCCTTTAGCACCGGTAAAACTGGATCGACTGGAACGATGTGGCGATAATGTGCAGGTGCGGGTAGATCGGAACAGGCTTCGAAAGCCACTAATTTTCGAGATGGGCTCATACGGCCCGTATAACTATATTGGAGACAATCAGAGTTGACAGAGGTTCGGATATCACCAAAACGATTCACTATAACAAGTACCTACTCTCTAAAAAAAGTGTGTTTATTTATTATTCTAACTCTATTGCGTGTTTTTGTCATGAATTGACTTTGTTTTGTTTTTGTCGTCATGAATTGACTTTGTTTTGTTTTTGTTTAATAAAATGCATTATAATTTGTAAATTGTTTAATAAAATGTATTATAATTTGTAAATTGTTTAATATTTTTTTTACATAGAATAAGGCGAATAAGTATAGATATGAAGTATTGGCTCAATATATTTTACGGCGTATATAGTTTTATTTACCTATTAATATAATATTTAATTATTATATAGGTAGTCAAAACCCCTATGTTATGAAAAAGTATTTTCTATACATAAAAGAAACATAACAGATTTATTTTACAAGTAGGTATTTAATGGTTTGACTTGTTAATTGTTATCAATACCATTGCTCTTTTTCGGACTATTCAAACCAATCGGCAATGTACTGTTGCCCATTTGGTTGCTGTGAATTTTATGTTTGTTCTTGTGTTCAACGTTTCGCGGTTTTGCGGCTGAGCTTTGCGGTATCACCACTGTTATTATTATATTATTATAATTAACTACAGATCCCGGCACTCCAGTTCAGCATACCCTCACAAAGATAGGCGGTAAGTGGTGTACTAACAAATTATTATAGAGCCAAATAGGCAAATAAGGGTTATATTATCATGTTATTATTATTATTGTATTGTAAATTGGGGCACTGTTGCCAAAAAATATCAGTTATTTGTCATTACCATTAGGTATTATAATAGTTTTTAACATATGTCTTATGGGATATGTTCATATTTTGTATTATACACACATTATAATTATTATTTATTATTTATATTTCTTAAAAAGCAACCATTTGGCTGCATTATCAATTTTACTAAACTTTTAATTTGCAATACCAATACTAAATTAATATCTTTTATACTTACCTATTATACAGTCCACTGCAAACATTTATTAATATATCTTAGGCATTATAATTTCCTCGCTTAAAGTAGGTAGCGCTGACTATTCCTGAGCAGCAGCAGCTGATAGGCTCCAACAACTATATATAGTAATTTTTTGATGATTCAAGTTTTTGTGTGGCTGGATTAAAATATGGTAAATCGTGATATACCTACCGCTTACTAACCTCAAGATTCAGCCAAATATCGCAGAGGAATCAATAAATTGTTTTTCGGAATCATACGGTACACGCATTATCACGGCAAAGTGTGGTCGCCTTTAAACCGTAAAAATGATATTGTAACCATAGAGGCCATAGATAACGATAACATAACCTAATCATAGGCTTATCCTTACTACGTCATCGGACGGGCGCAATTTTGTTTCTTAAGCTTTTATGTATCAGTGTAAGTAGGTTTTTAAATTATGGGAGGACAAAATTACTTACTCGAAATCGATTAAACGCTAGTGTTCAATGACTCGAACATATTTTAAGTCGAAAATGAGATTATTCGTATATATTACTTCACCCTTACATATTTCACTCTCGCGTAACCGTGTATGCATACAGAGTGATTCATTTTGCGTAAAACACTCATTATCTCAAAAAGTATTAATATTTTTAAATATTTTTAATTCTTATAATTTTTTAAGTGATTACTTTTTTGAATGACAGCATACTATTTAAAGTTTAGATGGGCGGATTGGAGTGGTATGGGGTTACCCTGCAAAATGTTTGTCCACTACTCCACGTGTCTAAACTTTAAATACTTATAACTCATAAACTAACCGTCCTAAATTCGATTTTTATGTATCAAAATACTTAGAAAAATATTCTGCTTTGAAAAATGAAATTAAAACTCAATGTTGTCATTAAAAAAAGTAAAAACTTAAAAAAATATAAGGACAAAAAATATTTAAAAATATGATTTTTAATAAAAAGTTGTTTTTAACAACTTGAAACTATGTGAAAAAATGTTATCAAAAACATTAATACTTTTTGAGATAATAAGTGTTTTATGCTTAATGAATCACCCTGTATATTGAAATTACAATACAATTTTATGAAAATGTTGACGAATAAAATTATGTGAAATATGGAAAAATTTTTTTAGAATTTATATGAGAGCAGTATTATCGCTAGAAATTTGTGTTTTATTTCTCAATAGTATATAATAGGTTGCGAAAAATAATGCTGCTAACATAAAAATACAGATTGATAGTATTGCATATTTGCATTTATATAGGTAGTTACAATATGTATATAACGTTTTCCAAAAAAAATTGTTTCGAAAAAAGTGAAAGTAATTAATAACTTGAAATAGGTACTGTCCAAAACAAATAATTTTGAAATAATCCATCTACAGCGTAATTTACGGTATAAATAACGGTGTTAGTATAATGTATTATATTTATACTGAACTTCGCGATATACCTACGCAGTGCACATTTTTTCTTTTTTATCACGTCTCTATTTTCGATTTTGTGTCCAATTTTCGCTAAATGTATGTCAAGACTATAAAAAATTATACGACCGTATTAATCATCATTAAAAGGCCATTCGGGCAACTACTGCGAATTTATAAGGCACGTTATATATTATTATTAACTGCTCACAGTGAGTGCTCGTTAGTCGTTTATGTGTATACAATCAGCACCGGCCCGAGGGCTGTGTGGCTCCGTGAGGTGTCGGCTGCTTATAAAAAAAAGTAAAAAAAAAAATGAAATAAAATGAAACTCAAACTTTTCGAACGACTTCCAGGCGCATAAAAAAAAACCCACTAAATTCCATTTCAATTTCGGAGATTTTTGTTAAGATGCGAAAAATAATGACGAATATTATTATTATCAGTGTTATTACCCGATTTAATAGCACTAATTATCGTAAAAATGATCTCTTATCCGAACACACGTTTTTATCAGTATTCGCACGATCGACGCAATTTCTCTAAATTTCTCACGATCTTATAATAATATGTACAAAACTATTAACTATAAATTTGTTTACGATGTATACATATCCAAATTAACGTATTATCATTATAACTATTCGGTATAAGTGTATTAATATATTATATTAACGATGTGGAATTGATAATTGTTACGATTTATGATTTCTAATTGGAAATATCGATCGGTACAAGATTATATTAAATATATGCTGTATATAAATATTATAGGTAGGTATAGGTATTATCCGACGACATATACGATATAGTCAATTTTTATTTATGTCTCCGTCTTACACAAACAAACATCATAGATTTATAGCAAATTTCGATTTTCAGTTGTTTGCTATAATATAATATTAGAGTGAATATATTATTATGAAACTTAAATTTTAAAATATTATTGTTTGTGTATCACATATTATGGGTTTTTTTTTACGAATTTTAAATTTTTAAACGAGTTACATATTTATTTTATACTCAATATATTATTACAACTTAAAAATATTCATAATTCACTAAAAAATTTAAATAAAAATTTTTTTTGGGGGGTATTAAAACCACACACACATAAATGTATCAATCTGCTATCACCTTTGAAAAATTTTTATTTCCTTCTCTATGCACTTCTATGCTATCTCGCAGTGTACTGTGTAGGTCATTAAACATTTTTTACCATCTCGGTAATAACCTTTTGCTGAAAATTTCAGGATCTTATGAGTGCCTCTCCATCTATACTACCAACACTATTTTTGATTCATGAACATCAATAAGCGAAAACAATTGGATTATAATGAAAATAATAAACCATTTTTTTCATCTATATACTATATAATATTATATTCTTTAAGTTCACTTTTATACGATTTTTTTTTTAAATATTTATTTATTAAAACCTCTTCGATCAATAGCACAAATGCTTTATATGGGATGTAGGGATTAGGATACATACAGGTACTCGTAATCTTAAGTCTAAATGCTTTAAGCGGAATATAACCACTCACTCAATATTATATTATATTGGTTCGATCATATTTAAAACCATTTCGGGAATTTTTTTTGTTTTGTTTATTCTACTGACAATTAATGGCGATGGCAATTAATTCAGATATTTCTCCGTCATTTGTGGGAACCGGAAGTATAGCAGCTTTCACATAATTGTCGCAGAACTCGCCCGAAGCCTTTCTTGGAGAGTACACAATGGTCACGAAAGTCGGACACGTCACTCACCCTTACAGGCTACAACCAATAAAATATGTATCAACGCCGTCGTGCTGGTACTGATTGACAAGGTAAGAAATAATAATAATTATAATTATTATTTAATATCATTAAAATATATATTATATTGTTCTGAGCAGTGCATTAGCTTTTTATTTAAATGTCACGATGAGACATCCTGATGAGAGCACCTCGTAAGCGTGATAGAATCACAAATTGCTTCAGTTCATCTTTTTATATTATTATGTAGAACACCGGTTTTTTCATTGGTTTATAACTATAAAAAAATGTTGGTAGGTAGTTAAATTTAAACTATACTAAGGTAATGTATAAGTATTAAGTAAAATGTATAAACGTACACAGCACTTCTGCGTGACTTAATTTTATAAAAATGTACAAATAAGTACATTTGCTGTGACCTCATATAGGTGAATCATACATAATATTATGTTAA